TTCTTTATTTCCTGGTGTTGATAAATTGGCATTTTCTGTGTTTTGGGAAATAACTGAGGATGCAAAGGTTCTTAGTCACAGATTTTCTAAAACAGTTATTAATTCTTGTTGCCAACTCGCATATGAGCATGCTCAATCAGTACTTGATGACAAGGAAGACTCTAAGGCAAGTTTTCCTGAAACTTACAATAACTTTGACTATGAAGATATTTCCAAAGCAATTAAAATTATTGCTAGTATTGCAAGGAAATTTAGAAAGGGAAGATTTGACAATGGTGCTTTAAGAATTGACCAGCCCAAAGTTTCTTTTCATTTGGATCCTGTTAGTGGTTTGCCTGACTCATATTGGATAAATGAAAGCAGAGAAAGCCATCAACTTATTGAAGAATTTATGTTACTTGCAAATATGACAGTTGCTACACGAATCAAGGAAGATCATCCATCATTGGCATTTTTAAGGTGTCATCCAAAACCTAGTAGTTATATGTTGAAACAACTAGCTAAGTCCTTACAGCTAATGGGCATTGAATTGAACATCAACTCAGCTGGAGAGCTACACCGCTCACTGTTGGAACATACTGGCCCAGATTGTACAGACAAGGGAAAAGAGATGGTTTTAAACATGTTATGTGCTAAACCTATGACAAGAGCAAAATATTTTTGTGCCTCTGGATGCCATGACGATGAATTTCATCATTATGCTTTAAATGTTCCACTCTATACTCATTTTACTAGCCCAATAAGAAGATATGCTGACATTATGGTACACAGGTGAGACAATTCTTTTATGTCATTATATTATTAAATTACATGATGCATAAATACAAAATAGTTCCAATGACTCAAGTTGTAATCAATTTTTAAATGGGAGTGATTCATAATGATTCATTGACACACTAATACAAGTGATTAATCTGTTAAATTATTTTTTAAACTTTCAAATGTATTTTTAATATTGTGCAATGTGTATATTTGCTGTTTCTTATAAACAAGCTTGTGTATTAGTATAAATAGATTGTGTAATTTACCTGTAACTCTTATTTCGTTTTATTTTTGTTAGATTTTTAGGTTTCTGTTATGTTATGATGTATACAGTAAGTAATATAAATTTCCAGGTTGTTGGCAGCAAGTTTAAACTATCGGGAAACCCCAAAATGGAATGTTGACAAAGTTCGTATGATTGCTTCACAATGCAATAAACAAAAATATAATGCAAAAAAAGCAAGTGAATTATCTACAGAAATGTACACACTTAAGTACATAGAAAGAAAGTCTCCTGTAGTGACTGATGCAGCTGTTGTAGAAGTGAGGGAAAAATACATTGATGTCATAATAATAGCAATGGGATTGAATAGAAGAATATTTTTTAACAATGTGAGTTATTTGAACATTTTTAAGTATTATTTATGATATTTATATTATATTTTATGTATATTTTATGCATTAAGTACAAAAAACTTCCTATTACAAAGAATGGTTATTTTTATTTCAGGATTTCCCTGGAAAATACCAATGTATTAAAAACGATTGTGCTAAACTTTCCAAAATGGAAATAACATGGAATGCTGTTAATAATTTACCACAAGTTAAACAAGTCATACAAGTATTTTCCATTTTACAAGTGGAATTATACAGAGGTGATGACATGGTAAAAGTTGAAACTAAACTTGTGAGACCACTGCCAGAAGTATCATCTTAATGACAATAATGTATTGTCTACAACATATTATGACTATTTGTTGTGATAATTTGTACCTAAAATAATGGATTACTATTTTTAGATTGAAACAAGATTATGGTTTGTGCAAATGCGTTTTTCTATTAGATTATAATAGATGAAATTCTTTATGGAAATATGTGAGATCTTGTAGGTACCAAATTTTAAATTTAGGTTTCCTATATTTGTGTGGTATTTTACTCAATTTCTTTTTAATGAAATAATGTGTGTATTTTTAATTTGACATTAGCTATTTATATTTTAATGTGTGGTATTTCCCTTATTTACTGTTAAACATTTTACTTAGTACAAGTAAATAATAAAATATTTTCTTAGTTTTAGGGCAAAATGCTCAATCAATGCTTGACTTATTACAAACTGCTGTATTTTAAATAATGAAATTGTACATAATGTATTGTTATATTTTGCCTAATTAAATAATCTATAGGAGGAATTGTAATTATTTTCGCACATCACCCAACCATTTATGTTAATTTGATTGGGAATTTTCGTAAATTTAATTTCGTAACCAGTAAAGAATCCAAAATTTAAAACAACTAAGTAGTAAGTAATGAGTCGTTGTGACGCTAGTACGTGTGCGTTACCCAGGCCAGATGTAGTCGAAAATGGTCATTTGAATCTTATTGGTAATTAAAGGGTACATAGGTACATAGCTTAAAAGTTATTTCATTAAATAGAAAAACACTTCAATTGGTTCCAGCACTCTCAATAAGAGCTCTAAAGACTAATTTATTGCTAGTAATTATTTAAATATTCCCATTAGAAAGAAAAGGGTCTGGCTGGGGTAACATTACCCCAGCAGGAAATGTTTTTGTGAAATAATTAAAAAACTATAAGCGCAACAAATTTAAAAATGTGCGCAACAATTACAGAAGCTGCACAACTTTAAGACCTTTTAAGACCCTTTAATTACCAATAAGATTCAAATGACCATTATGGCTCCGGTTCGAAGCGCAGGAGTAGCAACGGGGTGGTTTTTAGTTAGTAAGAGTCTGACACTACCTCTTTCCTAACCCATGGTAGGAGAAGTCATTTGATGATTTTGACCCCACAAAAATAGGCAAAGGGCTTTGAGTTCCTTTACTGGAACAATGTGATGGACGTATTTTAACAAATTACTCTTTTAATAGAGGACTTTTATGGAAAATACCTAGTAGATACATCTCCAATCTCTACTGTTACTTATCCGTAGGAATAAAAGGTGTAGTGTTATTACCTGTCGTTGCGCGTTATCACTTAATATCATCATATGATTACCTACAAATTGTTTTGAGAGTTCAATTCCATGTTCAGTAAAAAGTTATTGCACAAAGGTGCACACATATATATTTTCGTCGTGTTACTCCATCCCTAATCGTCTTACCCTGGTTATAAGCAGGAACAGCATTAGCATTAGTAAGTGATTTAAATATTATTTTTTGGTGAGAAATAAAAAAAAAATATTAACCGAAATACCGAGAAAATTGTAACTTTATTGGACTTTTCTTTTCACCTCTCGGGAAAGCAGCAGCCGGTTGTCCAACCACTGTGCTAACCGTGCAGTTGTGATTCAATTATAGTATTTTTATATTTTTAAGAAAGAATTAGTAACAAAATAATGGTAAACCACTTCACTATTTGAGTCAAAACTCGGAACAATAACTAAAGCATGGAAGCCAGGCTAAAATAACAACTACACTCCATATATTCATCTTTTTTTTACTTATGGTATTGATAGTGTATAAGAAAGAGATATGTGTATTGTTTCGTTTCGTTATTATGCAGGTTGTCACTACTTGTAAATATGCTAGTGATGGGAATAAATTAATATATTTTATCGATAAATTATGGTACCTGAAAGTTTTGCTGCTGTGGTCTAACGTACATTAGGTTCTTAATCTGGATGTCGTGGGTTCAAAAATAAAACACAATATTAAAAAGATAATTTAATTGCTCACAAACAAAGCATATTTACAAACCGTGGTAGTGGTGCACTATTATGTGTTTATCATTGACTTTTAAATATAATTGTCTTTGTTAAAATGTATCCTAAGTTTAAAATATTTTTGTGCTATGGACTTTATAAGATTTCTGTGATCAACATAGAAAGATTGTTCTAATGAATAATCTTTTTTTTCTCGAAAATTTTCTGACGGCAACACATTTGCTGAAACTTTATTAATCAATCTAATAATTATTTTGGTTTACCGAGAGATTTTGAATCAATATGCACTTGATATTCTCTTATAATTTTTTCGGTCAGCTGACAGATCTTGGTTAAGCCATATGTTGGTTTAAATAGGCCTCTTCTACCTCTATATTTAAAGATATCAAAGATCTTTAAGGAATACTCTCCGTGTTTTCAAGACTTTCTATGCATTTTTCGCATTGTAAAGATTTTTTAATTTCTTTCCAATAAAGCCGATTATGTATTCTATGACATTTTTAGAATATTCCGTAATAGATGATGGGTACAAAATGTAGTCGTGGTCTGTCAAATCATCAAAGGTATCATGTGATTCGGGTTCTAAACGACGTCTATACTATAAAGAACTTCAAAGCCTAACTAAAATATCGATATGTAACATGACCACATCACTAGCTTAAAAACTGACTTAGAAAATTGATTTAGATTTTTTAGGAAAAGATGGAATAATACTGTTTAGGCTTACAATTGAAAAGTACGACAATAAATAAGTAACATTTATTTATAGTTTACCGGTATTTCCAATATAATTTATTTTAAAACATATCAAAAACTTACGAATGAAAGTGTATTTTTTCACCACTGTTTTCTTTTCTTCCTAAATGTGAATTGCAGCCGTCAATCACACAAGACGTATTTTTATTAAGGAAAACACATAATAAAGAACGACCATACACTTCCTTTCTTCCTTTCTTTTACGCTAATTCCATAAAAAAACATTTTTTATAATCAGGAGCCGTAAATACAACCACGGTGACACTTCAGTACTATAATCCGGCAAAGTGAGGAAAGTGTCAAACTTGAGTGAAACTGTGAAACATAGAACGTCAAAACGTGATTTTGAATTTGGTAGTATGCTGAATAAGTCCAATGACATAAGATTGTAATGAGTCCACTGAAAGTTGTGACAACCTGCAAATTATTATAGAACTATGTTTAGTTTGCGGTCTCATTCTCGCCTACGCAAAATTGTGTAAAGAGCGAGAGCATCAGATATACGTTTGTAAATTACTATTTTAGCCTGTCTTCCATGCCTAGTTATTGTTCCGAGAGTCAAAATCGCTATTGACACTGACACCAAACAAAATCCTCTGTTGACATTGACAGGTTGTCAATTTCCTCTAAAAGTTCAAATCAATAATTTTAGTTTGTTTGTATGCTCTTTGATTTGATCACATTTCAGTTATACTTATCTTCAACCTGCATATCAGAATTAATAAGAGTATTAGAAAGAATGGAATACATGGCGCAAAATACGCACTATGTTGAAGACATAAAAGATTTGTTTGAATTTTCAGGCAGCTTACAAAACTTGTTGCAATTTAACACAACACTTACACAATCAGTTAAATCGGAATTAATTGATGTTGAAATTTTAGACGAAATAAAACATATTACAAATTACGAAAACACAGCTGTATATTTTGGTAAAACTTTACGAGACATAAAAATTGTTATAGAGGATGATGAACTAAGGAAGCATGAAATTTATTTGGAATATAAAGCTCCCAAAAAGTTAATTATTACTAATCTTCAGTTACCTTCTTCTATTAAACTTAATCGTGAATATAGTGGTATCAAAGATATATTAGACACAGTCAAACAAAATATCAATGACTTGGCTAGATATTTCTTCGAGTTAGAAAACATAGATCAACTCTGTAGTGTAATGGAGCCTATAAATGGTTCATTCAAAGATGATTATAGAAGGATATTTCTCGGTAGGTCTATTACAAGTATTATTCCAAGTTGTATCTGCTTCTAACTAGTTACACAAAATAAAATAATTTTATACTGTTATCTTATGGTGTATTGTAGTGTGCAGCACTATAAATCAAACATTACGGAACTAACTAAGATTAAACTGTCAAACACCAAGCGGTCACCGGTGACCCCAACCTATTCTATAATTGTGTCTATAATGACGGTACTCAACGAGTTAAAATAAGTATATGTAATCAAACAATAATGAAAAATCTTCTACAGATGACAGGACTTGGCTGCATGTTGAGGTGACTCCAGAAGGTGTAGCAACCAACATTCATTTGATTGGGCAATCTATGCATTGGCACAACAAACTACAATCAGGATTACTAAATTGGGATCATGATAAAAGTATTGTTGACAATATAATGATAACATTTGGTAATTATATTGTATAAATTATTTATTGTTTTAGTATTATATAGACATTTTAATGTAAATAGCTTCATAACTAAATATAAAACATGTTTCCAGATTTGTTTCAGTTCCCTCAACCTACATTCAAACATGGTGCACCACTAGGTATGGACACTGAAGATACCATGGAGAATCCAATTGTTTGTGGCATTTGTTTGTGCACAGAATTGCCAGGCAGCCCTGGTGTGCCACAGCCTCTATGTCAGAATATATCCTGCGGGGTTTATTACCACAGAACTTGTCTGTATCAGGTGATAGTGATAAATTAATGAAACCTATACCTATAAAAATACATAATTATGTGATTATGAATCTGAATAGACAACCAGTTTTAATAATGAGGCGACGGGGATTAGCAACCCCGCATGCTATCATCACCCTGAGTGCCACCATTCCTTATTCTCTGGCTTGCCTTAAATGGTTGGCTGGAGTGAACGATGACAAGGAACAGGTTTCCCACCTCTGACTTGCCTTCATTGGCCGTCCAGAGTGGAGTTGCGAGAGCAGTGATCCTGCTCGGAGGGTAAGAAACTATTTGTAAGTCGCGAGTGGGCCAGGAGTGCAGGAGGTTTCGGCTGGAGCAGATGATTTGCATAGAAAGCAGTGGGAGTTTCTTAACCCTTCAGCCACTCACATTCTCGTTGTCCCGCTGTTGCTATACCTAGCAACCATTCCCGGGGCCCGGTCCCGGAGTTGGCGAGTCTCCGCCTGCCATTTTACGTGTTTTAATTACATTGTTTCGGCAGGTGCCATAGTCGTCCATACTTTCCAATTTACCGATCCGCAGCAACCCATCCATAGCCCTACCTTTTTTTTCCATTATCCACAATAGTTCTACACTAACTGGGGACTGTTCTTAGGTGCATTCCCATAGTGCATACCTACAGGGATAGTCGCCGGTTTGTGTGGCCATTACGTTTATATTAAAGTTGTCTAAAGAGCCTCTGCGCAGTTGGCTTCGGCCCCTCGTACGCCTCATAAATGACCGGGACCATGGTAGAGATATACATAATAATAAACACTTTATTGTACACCATTTACAAAAGACACGAACAAGAAAATAATAGGTAGGTAAAAATTAGTATCAGATTTGTGTAAGATCATGTTGTAATGTTATTTTTTTTTACTTTTGCAGTGGTTAGTTGCATGTTCTGGCAGTCGGCCGCCCGCTTTTGGTGTTGCAAATGGAAGCTGTCCTACCTGTCTTCAATCTATAGCATGCAGTGAAAAAGATAATTGAACTTGTTAATTATTTTTAAGTTGAATCTGTGATAAAGCATTAAAACTGATATGCGAAATATGCAGTTTCAATTGATAATTAATATACTACACAATATTAAAAGTAGGTATAGATACTTCTATACATTTATACGCTCGTGACTATTGCCAAAGGATTAGTAAGCTGAAGTGGCAGTGGGCCAGTTACATTTGTTGAAGAATATCAATTCTTCGACAAAGTGTGTGGGTAAAAAAGTTCTAGAGTGGAGACTGCGTCTAGGTTAACGTAGTGTAGGGCGCCCTCCAGCTAGGTGGAGCGATGCCATCCGCAAGGTGGCTGGCAGATGTTGGATGAGAAGAGCTGGAGACCGAGCGCAGTGGCGTGCCATTGGATTGGCTTATGTTCAGCAGTGGACGAACACGGGCTAATATGATGATGATGATAACTACTATTGCTGATATGTGCATAAATTCGAGGGTGATTTTGGAAAAATTGTACCCACATCTGGTTACATTTTAGATTTTCTTTGTGTGGTTGTTTCTTTAGTATTATGTTAGTTGCTTACCCTTCATGGAATTTAGGTGTGATGTAAAAATCATGATTCGGCAAAATAAGGCTGGCTCGACCAGACATACCTACACGGCATAACAACAGCTAGGTATGCGTTTTAGTTTGCCTTGTGAGCGAAATTACTGGAGGCGAGGGTTCGGCATCTGAGTCCAGCAAACTATTAAGTCTGAAATTTCTCAAATATAACAGAGTGCTATGGAAAAGGGCTCACCAAAAAAAAACTGGTCAAGTTTAATTTATATTAGACTAGCTTTTACCCGCGGTTTCGCTCGCGTCACAAAAGGATAAAAAGTAGCCTATGTGACTATCCATCCCTTCAACTACCTTCAGTTAAAAAATCACATTAATTAGTAGGTACCTCCGTTCTGCCGTTTAAGACAGGCAAACAAACAAATAGTTTTCCGTTTGCGTGGAATACGGTTATATCGCGCTATTTAGATTTTTCCATTAAGTAGGCAATTCGTTGACTGGTTTGAAAAGACATACAGCGCCATCTATACCTATATTTTTGTTTTCCCTCAGAAATATCAAATTTTTCCGGGATAAAAAGTACCCTATTATTTAATCCAGACTTCAAAACTTTACGTCTAAAAATTTCAAAGCAATCGGTTTAGTAGTTACGACGCGAAAGCGGAACAAACTCACTTTCCGATGTACTTCTGATAATCCATTTACAAAGATCTCTCAGTTTTAAGTGAGAAATAGTTTAAAGTAGCTATTAGAAATAAATTTGTGTAGTAAAACAATTTATGCCTTTACTTTTTAATTAGAAATTACGTAGACATAATATTTTGTGGTTACATAGAATAATTCAGTATAAACAATGTTGAGAGATAATGCTTGCACCAGCTGTTCATGTTTCTGTGATTGCTGATAAAACATTTTCCTTAAAACAATAATTATTATCAGTAGTTTGCTGTGGCAGAACTGTTAAAACTTTGCGGGCCTACTCCTGCAGTCTCAACAAAAACAAAAGCAGATACTTAGTAGTTCAGTACACAAAAAAGTTCTTTTAAAAATAAGATCTGATTTCACGTGACAATATAAATACAATTTCACTTAGATGGTATTATATCAAAATACTTCACAACAATTGTTCATCTTTCAAACGCTTGTTTTAAATTGGTTGTTAGTAGTATTTAAATTGTCACGAAAATTTTAAGTAGACTATATCATGAGTAAAATCATCACAACGGCACTGTGTCAAAAGTACGAGGAGTGAGGCTGGTGCTAGATCCTGGTGCTTCACCACTTTGAGGGCCCGTGTCTCTCCCAACATTCTGAAAACAGAGAAACATAAGTGAAGGTCTGCTTCAAGTGCTTGATGTTATGACAACAAGGTGGCAGCAGTATTGTTTTAAATCTTACCTTCACATGGATTTGATTTTTGAGCATGGCAGCACGTAGAATAAGCATGGAAGTTCTCCGTTGGTATTCTTTGCCCATGGCCAGACTTCTTTCAAAAGTAGTGCTTCTTTGATCCACGTCTTTTGCATAGAGTATTTTGTTGTGAGAGTCAATACGAGCCTGGATTTGACCATCTAGAATTAATAGCATCAATTCATCCTCCAAAGCATTTACAGTGCGGTTGAATGCTGCAGCCATCAGGCGCATGTCAGCTGACAAGTATGGGCTGAAGTACTGAATCAATGCTCTGTTTCTTATTTGCATGTAAAGGGAGTTTAGATGTGGTGCTAAATACATGTCTAACATTAGATTATCTCTTATTTCATCCAATAGCCTTAAGCAGGAAGCATACTTAGATTCATAGAATTTAAAAATTATGTCACGTAACTGCGGTTCTAATTCTAAAAATAATTTAAAAGAACTGCTAACTATGACTTGTTTTTGTAATTCAGAACGATCAAAAGTAGCAAGTGCACATAATCCACCATATATGGCAACATTGTTGCTGCTCAGAAGCTCTGGATAGTCACAGTGATCAATGCTGGCTGCTAGGAAGTGCTTAGCAGCAGACTTGTACTTCTTGGTGGCCAGCTCAGCAAGACCTGCAGCACATTTTAAACGAGTCAATATTGACTGATTAGAGTCTTTGCCAGGGACTTCATTGAAGTCTGGGGTGCCTTCTGCCTTAGATACATAGTTAAGGACATGGGCCCAGTTCTGCAAATACACTGACACTTTCACAACATTTAGGCACATCATTATAATGTGTTTGCCACTTGTACAGTAATCTCTGGCTCTTGAGTAACACTTCAATGCACTTGTAAGGTCACCACAATCAAGATAATGGTCACCGAGGTCATCATGACCTCTTCGAATACTCTCCTTTATGGAATTTGTTTTGTAATTTTTAAGATCTGTATCTAATTTCTCCAACTTGATAGCAGCTTTCTTGGTTTTTGATTCAATCCACATAGAGTCCAGAACTGGTATATCTTGTGAACCCATTTGCACTGCAACATCAGGCAAGCCAGCCGAAGCAACTGCTTCTGCAAGCTTTTTGTGAAGTGTTTGGTAAAGACTAACATTGTATGTTGTCATGACGTACGATATAGCCATTTTAAGGGCTTCCAATCTAAGGGAAGGACAATGGTCGGCTACGAACATCAGTCTATACAGTTTAGCGAAACCAGTGTATGATGCGGCGTATGTTTCCAGATCCAAGGTGGGATTCTCAACCACATAACACTCTGTCTCATTATTCTCATTATCTTCAGGTGGAACATCCACCTGCATAGGTTCAGCTGTGTTCTGAAAATAAAGACATTGTCGAGATATTTGTCAGGCATTTTTATCAAAAGAACCCGAAAAGGAATAATTATCTACTAAACGGTATACTTAATTGAGAGAATACTCACCATTTCGAACATTTTCTATTGTGTACTTGACTTGTAAAAGAAAATACGCGAATTCCACTGTCAACGCAGAAAACCAACCTAAAACAAAGTGTTTCTTTACCTATTTGTTCTTTCAAATCATTAATATATTGTATTACATATTATTCGAATTCAACACTCACTCAGTATATGTACACAAGATGATGATTGTTACAGTAATAATTATTATCAAAATACCTTTATCATTACGTTTCTTCTTGGCAGCGGCATTTTTCTTTTGACGAGGTATATTTTAATGTTGCCATCATAGATAATAAAATTATTGTATCCACGAAAAAATATGTAATGATTTTCGGTAGGTCACAAATTTATTCATTGTTTTATTGCATTTCTTCACATAAATAATTACGTAGAATTGTAAAGACCTAAATCATAATCATTCTATGAAATTTTATCGTAGTTTCTGAATAGTAAAGTAAAGATTGTGAAAATCACATTGGATTTTAATAGGCCGATCGACCCTCAATCGCGTAAGGTTGAGCAAACTATTTAGATCTAGATTTAAATCATTTCAGTCATGTTCATTCATCATTAATCAAGGGGAAACATTTGATCAAAGGGAAATATTTAATATTTTTAGCTACCCTCGTGTAATAAAGGAATAAGTACGTAATTACTTACTTTTTCAACATATTGACCAATTTTTTGCAACCGTGTTGGTTGTCGCAGTGGTTGGGCAACTGGCTGCTGTGGAACGCGTCCTGTCCTGTAGATAATTTACAAATTATTGGACTGGGTCTGAATGAGATCGCACTCAGGGTATCTAAAATTGTTATTGTTGGTGAATATAACAACGATATAATTATCGATAAAATTAAAAAAAAAATAATAAAAATTATAGCCAAGGTAATGAACTTATTATTATAAACTTGAATGAATTAAATCTTGTTTTGTGGTGGTGGAATATGAAGTGATGGCGCCATATTCAAATGGAAGACTCTCAACGCAACAAATATTGGTGATTGGCGTTATTAAAAAGAAGTTCCATAATTATAGCTTCCTGTATCTGATTGCAGTGGAACCTGTAATTTTGTTAAGGCGTTAATTAAAATAAAGTAATTCATGAATGACTGCTCCCGCCTCATCATTCGATGATTTTCCCCCTTAAAAAAAATTATAACTACTTAATTAAGTATGTGAATCTGTATTTTAGTGCAGGATTAATTTTATTTTAAGTTTAAAAAAAATATCGATTGCGATACAATAAAATAAATAAATTGTCCACCTATAAACAAAAACAAAGAATAAAAAACTAGAAAAGAAATTATAAAGAAATACAGTAGGTACATAACTATTAATTATTGCTTTTTCCGCAAACCCACTTTAACTCGTCGAGTACCGGTTTTGCAGACACAATTATAGAACAATAGGTTGCGGTCACCGGTGACCGCTTGGTGTTTGACAGTTTAAAGGTCATACGCAAGAGCGCATGCGTTAAAATATAAAATGTCGATGTTGACTGCTCTAGTAAAAGTCAACACAGATTGTTTGTTGTACAAAACGAAATCAATCTCTTATATAATGTACGAATTATTTAGTGGTATATATTCTAAATTAAGTAACATGTTTACTCGATTACTCTGCAAATTATTTTCTAGTTATTTATTTCTAGAGACTTTGCGTGAATTTACAAACGGTAAGTGCTTCTATGTGTTGTCTGAGTGCTGCGCGTAGCAGGTACCTGTGTAAGTAAGAAGGTACCTTAAAATAGTAGCCGTAGGTTCTTCTTAGTACCTACCCGCAGTAAATAAATTACATAATTCAGTAGGCACCTAATGGATAAAGGTGATGCTTATATTTCCTGTGTAAATAGGGATATGGGTTTTCAATTTCTACTGCGTATACTTTACACGTATTTTCTCAATTATTTTTATCTTC